TTTTAAACCTACTTTTAAAGTTGAAGATGATAAAACCAAACCATGACTTCTCCTTTACTTCTTACTTAAATGCTTTTGCATGAAATGTAGCATAAAATACAGAGAAACGTAAAAGAAATGAAAGACCAAAGGGGCACTTTTCAGGGTTACTAATAACTTAGATTTTCTATTTTTCAGTGCAAACATAAAAGTGCATGTCTTCTCTTCCAGATTCAGAAGTGTGAAGGATGCCCATAGGGTGTCACCCCTTGTTGTGGCTGGTTACCTAAAGAGAAAAACAGACGAATAATTACAAATGAGGACACTACTGCAGATAAATGCTTCCCTTCTGGCCCTCCTCTCAGAAATAACCTCAGGTAGCGGGGAAGAGACTCACTGGCTAGAGTACAACTTTAATCCTGAAAGACCTTGGGGAAAGGATCCGAGAAGTACCCCAAGGACACTCTGCAGAGGGGCCAGCTTCACTAGGGAGTCCCACACCTGCCAACACAAGGGATTTGATAAACTGACCCACCCAAAGTGTCTCCCTCCAAACTAAGAGAACACTCAGCATGAGTGCACAGAAGGACTGTTTCATGTAACACTGGAAACTCTCAAATATTTATAAAAGCAAGTCAGCTCTCAAATATTTATAAAAGCAAACGTCAGCAATTCTAAGACTGGCAGTATAAAAGGTAAGAGAAGAGTATTGCCTTGCACTGGGGAATTTCAGCAAACAGCCGTAACATAGCTAAGAGGGAATTAGGCAAGAATAAATGCATCTGTAAGAGTGGGAACCACGTATGTAAAGCGTGTACTTATGTGTTTGTGGATGCGTGCATGTATATACTCAGACACACCAAAAAATCATACAGACTTAAGAGTTATTGCTCTCCTAACTCTAGATTACTCACATTCAAAGGTTCCATTAATATGGGGCCACATAATAAAAGCAGCCTTGTGGAGTTGTGAGGTGGGCATCAACTTGGTTGCCTCTTCAATCCAGGAGGATGGTATAGTTGCTAACAGACCAGAACAGAGCATGTACTGTGTTTAAGAGGTGGGCCCTGGAAGGAGACCATCTGAGTGCAAGTCCCAGTTCTGTCCCTTACTGTTACCGGATAACCTTGGGCAGTTAAGTCAAGGTCCCTGTTCTTTGACTGCTTCCTCATCTGTAATATGAGAACCGAATCAATCCCCAATTCCATGGGGTTATTTAAGAATTAAGTGAACAAATGTAGGCCAAATCATAATAAGAAAGAGTCCCTTAAGTGACGGATTTTTAAAGAGTTGTGTTCCGTGACCTCTGGTGGACAGGGGGAAGGAGAAGAAGGTCCCTCAGACAGGGGTGCTATGAGAACATCCGGAGTACTGACTGATAAACAAAGTATAAACACTACAAACAAATTATATTTCTGCAACAATTGAACGCCTGTCTCTATGCTACTGGCAGGTGACCAACCCAACCAACTTCCTTCAACACTAACTACCCATCACTCTGCACCTCAGAACACGGAATCTGAGGCGCTGGGGAAACTGCTTGTCTCCTTCCTCTGCACAGATGGAAAAAATATGATCTAGGTTATAATGGCCACATCAGCAAAGAACACAGGTTCCCTGACTCCAGGCCAATGTGTTTCACAACACAGGTGCACACTCCCGTTTCTAAAATGACTCTCAGTTCTATGATTCTACCACAGAAGCCATCTGCTTCAAGGGCACAGGCTGAACAGCTCCTTAAATACTTCCAACATCATAAAATGGCCTGGAGTTGTAGCTGAGTGGTACAACTAGGTTCCACCCTTAGCACCACAAAACCAAACCGTACAAGGGATTACCTGATTGAAAAAGAACATTTCAGTTGGGAACAATAGAAAAATCCTGTTACTACATTTAAGGATTGTGGCTTTTCCAAGCAAAGAAGCAAGCGATTTCCAAACAAACCTAACCTAGACAAGAACAAAACACCCTGGACAAAGTCGAACGTGGAAATGGTACCAAGCAGCACAGGGTGGTTTCTGAGGCGTCAGCACTGTGTTGGGCTTGAGTGGTGATTTCTGGGGTGCCATCGGCTCTGTGCCAGACAGGTACTTACTAGAAAGCTGCTTCTGGAGCTGCCGCACCAGGGCGGCCGTCTGCTGCTGCTGCTGGGTCTGCTGCAAGCCTTGCCTGGGGAACTGCAATTGCAACAAAGGAAGGGTGAGTCAACCACCGTGCAGTCATGGGAGACACAGTCTGCACCCTGGGATCTGTCTAATGCACTTCTACGTGCTTCAGAGAAAGGCTCATGCCTGGTGTGAAGGCATGTGTATTTGTCCACAGTTCGCCTTAGTGTACAGCTAGGAAACAGCCTACTCATGCAGGCATTGGCCTGGCACATATTTGAAGAGTCCTGATGGCGTTCACACTAGAGGTGGCCCATCGGTTCAAAGGCCACTGTCACTTCACCCTTTACCAGCTGGTGGGGTTTCCCAACATCACGAGCCTCTCTTGGTAGCAAAACGAAAGCTCTCTAGTATGGGGATTTGTCCAGTGCCACAGTCCTTCCGTGAATGGAAGAACCAGGTGAGGCCGCACAGTGCCCTAGCCTAGACTCACCTGGGGCCACGGCCTCCCTTGTCTGACAGAGCCAGGGCAGGATGAGGTAAGCTGGGCAGCCAGAACTAGACTTTAGGAAGAGGCTCTCTCAGCACTATATGAGGAAGGTCTGAAGCCTAAAACAAGTGGCTTATGCCCTGTTCTGCACTAAGCTCACACAGGAAACTATGGTTGATGTTCCAGAGCAGGGGAAATCAGTACTTAGTAGAAGAAAAATCACTTTGGATTGGAATCACCGATAGATAATACTGAGTCATTTTCTAACCTTCCAATGACAGACTGACACTTTTTTTTTTTCCTGTCTGTTTTCCAGCTCTCCTCTTCTGGCTGCCTTCTTTCCACCCAGCTTGTTACTGCTATCAAAGGGTGCTCTGACACCCTAGTCACACACATGTAAGTTGGTGTTGGACATTTCCCATCTACCTCAGTAACCAGTTCCCGTCTGTGCTATGTTTGCCCATCTGCCTATATGGAATGCATTGAATGGGCTAGCATAGGGTCCCAGAAGGCACACTCTCAGGAGCAGAGTGGGGCAGGAGTGAGCCCAGGAAAGCTTTGTTTTCTCTAGCTTCTTCCACATGAGTCTCTGCTGGCTGAGGGCACCCAAGGCAGGAAGGTCTGGATCTTGTCAGGTGACCAGGCTGTTTCCACCTCCCTTCTTCTGGCCCCACTGGGCTTAGGGTCTTCTATCCTTGAGGACTCCTGAAGTGGTTTTCCTTAATCTGCCTCACATCTCTGAAGAGTTGTCAGTGTCACAATGTGAATGCAACATTTCTATGTCTTCCTTGGAGCTTGTCAGTATGACTGAAAATTGCCCAGGATTATAAGCAATATAGAAGTAAAAATTCAAAATGCCCAGCTAAGTGTGAATTTCACATAAACAGTATTTTTTAGTGTGTCTCAAATACTTCATGTGACAAATACTGTATCGAGTACAAGTGTGCATAATGTAGGATTTGAGATATGCTACTGTCCACCACACTGAACCTCAACTGCTTTTCTCTCTAGACAGTGAGTCACTGAAGGGTAAGACTGTGGCTGGACCACTCATGCGTCCCCATCATCCAGAAGGGACAGGAACAGCAGAGCAACCAATGGTCTGATAAACTCCAGAGCACCTTCAGCTCCACAGCCCTCTTCGAATCAGAGAAGACAACAAAGATGATAAACTGTTTTCTCCACTACTGTCACCATCTGCCCCCCGCAATGCAGGGAAAAAATGAAAACTTGTTCATTTATGTGGAAATATCAGTAAGATAAGTGCTTCTTTTCAGTCCAGGTATTTCTACACTTATTCAGAAAAATCATTCTATTTTACAAAACTTTGACTACACACGACTCTGTGCCAGGCACTATAAAAGACATTAAGCATGTGCAGGCACACTTAGTCCTGATGTGGAAACAATTATCCTAAATCTACTTGAAATCTTTGTGACAGGTGTGTTTTGGAATTCAGTGTGTGAATGATTACCTCATCACATGGCATAGAGCTGAACTCCGCCCCACACGCACATTTCTATGGCCAAACGCACAGACAGTGCCTTAGAGAGAATACATGGGAAAAGCTGCGAGTCCATCATTCAGATATACTTGAATTTTGGAAGGACTATAAAGGAATGGGAGCCCTTCTCCCGGCATTCTAATGTTACAGATGAGGAAACTGAGGTTTAGACAGATCTGCCTGCAATCCCTCTAACTCCTGGGACTGGGTTTCAGAATAAGCTTTCTGCTTTGTTTTTGTTTTGAGACACGGTCTCACTACGTAGTCTGGCTAGCTTAGAACTAAGTAGACCAGGCTGGCTCTGAACTCACAGAGATCTGCCTGCCTCTGCCTCCTGAGTGCTGGGATTAAAGGCCATCACACCCAAGACTAACTTTTCTGGACCTAGAGTTGATGATTTTTAACCATGACAACTCATTTTATTTATTTATTTTGTGGATAAAATATATAACTATATATTTATGAGTATAATGTAAAGATATGATATATGCATATATTGTGAAATGATTAAAACACACTACTTAACATTATCTACTACTCACATACCTATTTCTTTATGAGAACTTTAATAACCTGATCTTTAAGCAATTTTTAACTTACACTTTTTTAATCTTTAAAAATTTTTTAAATTAAAAAAAATTATTATTTTTT